TTCAGGACTCTCATGCATTAATAGTGTGATGTCCTGCCTCTGCATTTGGAGGATATCCATTTGGCTTTATGATTTCTGCAGGGAGCTTTTGTATGGAAACAACTTGCCTAGTGAAGTAGTCTCACCATGTGTGAAACTAAACTGGGCCAAATAGAGAAATTTTGCCAGCTAGGTGGAGCTCCCCCACTAGGTTTCTTCCTGTCTTGATTTTGTACAACCTTAATCACTATCACTGAATCGGTAAGTTCATTTAAAAGATGGCCAGTTTACAAAGAAATTAAAATGAAAATGTGGGAAAAGTTCTCTACTCCGTGGACTTTGCCACAGGCAGAGATGAGCACACAGTAATCCAGGATTGTATGGATCCATGCTGTTGTTGAGCCTGTATCTCTCAGTGATGTTTTTATTCAGTGCAATCCTGGAACTGCTGGTAGTACTCTTAATTAGTTTTCTTCCTGGATAATAGAATTTTGAAAATAGTTTTTGATTACTGAAACATAGTCCATTGCTGTAAGATCAACTTACCGCTTAGCTGTAATAAACACCTGTTCGTGGCAAAACTTACTCTTCCCCCTACAATCAAATAGTGATTCTCTAAACTTGGCATCCTTTGTTTACATACTTGCTGGGACTCTAGAGAGCAATGAATCAGGTGATTTCTGCATAGGTATGACAAGGATGAGACTTCCCAATGCAGCCTGAGATGTGAGGATCCGATGAGATTCGTCATGCGTTTTTATTCTGTCTCCACAGTAAAAAAATTGCAGACTGTTTTAGGCATTGATGCAACTCCATCATTTTTCTATAGGCCTTTAGTGATGCTGAGCACACTTATTCTTTGGTAGTTTCCAGTAAATACATGAGGTGAAGGCTAGTACATGGTTTTGCTGATAGTTCGGGAAGAAATATCAAATCTAGATTGCTGTCTTACAGCAAATTTTTATTTTGGAAAAACATGACTGCTTTGTTGTGGCTGTGAGAAGAACATAATGTATATCCTCATCAGTGTTCAAAATGGTGGATCTGATTTTGTTAAAAGCACACGTGGGGTCAGTTACTGTTGCTCAGCTTCTGAACAGTAATCATTATAGTCCAGTAATATGTTTATTGTTTGCTGTGATATTCATATGGTGGGATAAAAGGTTAGGGTTCTGGATTTGAAATGTAATAAAATAGAGCTAGTAAGAAGCTAATTTCTTTTTCCACAGAACTACTTTTTGTGAAGTTTTAAGGACCATATTGAAGTATAATTAAGTAAAGCTTATTTGGAAAAAAAGATGAAATAGTGAAAAAATAACTCTCTATGCCAGTAATCAAAGACATTTGTTTGAAACCAAATATCTCCAACAGAAATTTAAGTATATGTGTTTCTACTGTAATGTGACAGTATACTGTAGACTTCTGTGTGATCATGTATGAAATATATTGAACCACTAACAGTCATTGTTTCAATTCACCAAATAAGCTATTAAAAGGAGAAAAGCAGTATCATGTTGTAGCATTAATAATTGCAAGTCCTTTTATTTTTTTTTCCTGAGGATATGCATACATTAGTGTAATGTCAAAATTACTCTAATTTCAACCTCAACTGTGTGGGAAAAGTTTAAAGAGTTTGAAGAATGCCTTTAGTTCTGATTAAGGCAATCTCTGAGATGCCTGCTGACTGATTTCTGAAAAACAATGCTCTGAGGAGTAGCAACCTTCTTCAGTTAGTGTCTCATATTTTAATAACTAATGGTGGCACATTAACATATTTTGTCACAATTTTGGTATAACACAGAGGATGAAACACCAGAAGGAGAAGGCAGGAATTTGGAGAAAACATCAGAAAGTCATTCTCACATGCCTGACTGAAGTGGTAACTTCATTTATGATGTTGTGGATAAAAAGGATATTTCAATGCAATGCTTATTTAATTTTTTAACTACAGAATTGTACCGTGAACCCCAAATTTATTTTTATATATTTGTTATTCCAATAACATTGGAAAATTGTTGACCCTAAAATGTATACACTTGTTAGAACTTAGCAGACTCTGTCTTTATTTACAATTGTAATTCCATTTGCTTATTAACTGAAGATTTTTTAACATGACAATCTTATTAATTCTATGCATTGTGCATTACGTGCATTCTCATGACACTGTAGACCTAAGCTGTGCAATGATGACTTTTTCTTTTTTCAGTGAGTACATCTAAATTTTTGAGGAAGATGAGGGTTTGGGGCCTTGGTCTCAAGCAACAGATTCAATCTTCTCTGAGCTAAGGACTGACCTGGTGTTCATTGAGTCCCACTGACTGTTTGTTCAAGGCAAATATTCAAAGCATGACCTCCATTAGTGACTCAAGATCTATGTCAGTACTATAAATTTTCGTTACAATAGTGCATTCACTGTAAGGATTACCACTTAAAATAAAAAAAATTTGACTTTTTCTTGAGCAGAGCTTTGCAAAAAGGTATTCATGTTCTGGACAAAGTCACCAGAATATATCAACACAAATGTTCTACTTTTCATAGAATCGTGGGATCACAGAACCATAGAATGGTTTGAGCTGGCAGGGACCTCTAAAGACTATCTAGTCCAACCCCCTTCTGCCATGAGCAGGGACATCTTACACTGGATCAGGTTGCTTAAAGCCCCCTCCCACTTGGCCTTGAACACGCCCAGGGATGGGCCATCCATGACTTCTGTTCCAGTTCCTCACCACCTGCATCATAAAAGAAATTCTTCCTTATGTCCAGTCAAAATTTACCTTGCTTCAGCCACTTGCTTTGTTATTGCAGGATTTGGTAAAATGTATCTCTTTTAACTCAAAGTATTGGGCCTTGCAGTATAGTGCCTCATTATACTCTAAAATACTCTCAAGAGCTCTACCTAAGATCGGCCATCAATAGTAATGAGTGCCATGATATTATGTGCCTAGGGGGAGAATCATTAGCTTAAACAACAAAATGGCAAAGATGCATGCTCTCTTTTAAGAGCAACTTATTTTTTGTGTTTCCCTTAATGAACTTCTCTACCTCTGAAGCTAACACTCTAGTGTTAGTGATTTTGTATTTCTCTAAACACAAGCAGAGAATTTAAATGACATCATACAAGCTACTAATGTTTCAAACGAAACAACAGGGACGTACATTTGACTGGAGAAGAAGTTTGACTAAGTAGTTTACGGGTACCTTGAAAACTAAAGATGATGGTAGGTTTGCCTTTAGGTTCATCACTGATGTAACTGAATGATTTCTTACCTGTTTGCCTATGACATCACTTTCCTACTGGGGTACCATAATGCGAATGCAGACTAATGGAATAGTCAAGCTTTCATTTGCACCCTCTTATTTTTCAGGCCTTTACCACAGAGCATGAGGGTGTATTTCAGTCCTCTTAAGAAGACGGAGTAACAGCATGCCCCTGTTGGAGTCAGAAACCATCAGTGATGCAAGTAGTGATTTATATGTATCTGTATATTTATAGTTGGAGATACCACCTATTCTTGAAGAAGTATGTGGGTATGAGGTTATCAGTCACTATCTTCAGACCTTAATGGTTCACCCTGAAGGGGATGCCTTGCAGGCTGGGCAGGGTAAATACTGAATCCTGCCAAGTCATTGCTTTCTTCTGAATCACAGTTGCTTTGTGCTGTGTTGACAGCTGCTGGCTTTGCAAATTGCTGGGCTAGTTGGGGATATTAAAATATCATTTCTTCATTGCCAGTCGTGCTGCTGAAGTGTATTGCCCTGGTAAATCTTGTAGAGAAAATAAGTGTGCTTACTTTATCCACTACAGGCCCATCTAGAAGGTTTGATTAAAACAGCTGATAACCTTGCAGACTGGACTACTGTGAATGAGGAAGGGCTCATAGGGTCTCTGGTTAGCAGAGGTCTGCAAGCAGTAACCTGCTACTAATGGGCTATGAGGACCAACCAGGAGTGGTAGCAACTTCATCCTACACAAATAGACCAAAAGAGGATCCATGCATGTAGAAGAACTTGTTCTTACTCAGAGTGCTACTGCTTCAATTTACATCAGTATGGGAAAAACTTCCCCTTCTCCAAACACAATTATTACTAGTACAATGCTGTATTTTAGCTATAAGCTGTGCCAGTGTAATGAATCCAGACTGGTATCTCTGTGCTGGAAGGTCTATATTCTCCTAATAGTTTTGTTAAAAACATCACACCCTTTATTGAAATCTTTATGAGGATAGAAAAGAACAAACAAAAACTTATATAGGTGAGTATTTATGTGGTTTCTCAGTAATGTTGCTCTTGACAGGTAAATAATTTAAAATGTTAAGTCAGAATATCTATTTTTTTAAAATAGTGTAGACTGATCATAATAAATCCATTAGAATAAATAGGAAAAATATTTATTTTTACCTGTTTAGTACAAATATTTAAAAGATGTCTTAATCCTTATTTGACTGTGTATTGGTTTTGTTTCTGACCTGCAATTTGCAAAGAGAGACTCAGAAAAGGAAGTGAAAAATATTTTACAACTTGAATTTGTTTTAATCTGTAACAGACTTCTTGAAACGTCTGTGGCAGAAGCCTGTGGGGAACATGAATATTCTGAAAAGGAAAGTTTCATACCTACTTAAAGGCTATTGCAGGTTTACTTGTTTAGCATCAGGAAATGGAGTGGCCTTGGCACATCAAGACTCATGACTAGGATGGTGTACTTCAGAATGACTGTAGTTTACAGACTTTTTCCCTATTTCTGTATACCGTTGGATTTGTTAATACATATATATTTTTTCTTTTCAAAATGCATTGCAAAACCATATATATATATATATATATATCATAACACTTGCTAAAAAGATTATACCTCGTTGGGGATAGAAGGGGATTTCAGAATCATTTCAGTATAAAGAGACTATTTTGAATCACATCTTGCTTCAAAATCAATTCCCTCATGAAATATATTAGTGCAATGAAAACTGTATTTGTATCACATATTTAAATTAACTCTTCAGCCATAAATGAAAGGTTATAAAAGTAGCAAAAAATAAAATGAAGAAGAAACTGTAAGTATTTATCTGGTAAGGAAAAAATGCAAATACTATGATGATGGGATTAGTATGGCTAGATGTGGATAGTTTATAGTATCATGCTCTGTGCAAGTTGAAGGGGATTTTGAGGCAATGAGAAGATACTAGCAGGTTTTTATTTGTGATAATGGATCTAATAAGTAAAAAACCAAACAAAAAAACCCCCAAAAAACCAAACATACATGGCAGAGTTTCTCTGATATTAACAATACTGTGCTTTCTTACAGCTAGAGATTGTCCTGCACTTTTGGTTACAGTGATCATATCATCTGGAGAAAACAAACTATGTACACGTTTGTGCACAAGTTTTACAACACCATTTACAACTGATGTGACTAATATTGCTAAAACAGTATTTATGGGACTCTTATGCTGTGCTAGGGAAAGAGGCTGTTATAAAGGTGTTCAGGACCTCTGATGGAGTAGTTTTCAACAACAACATTCTTTCAAAGTATTGCCAATTCACAGGACATAGGGCAAGTACTTCACATTGTTCTTGCTTCTTGCAGACAGTTTTCCTGCCCGTGTCTGCAAAGTAATGTCAGTCATCCCAGTGAGTACAGGAAAAAGCAGAAAGGTAGTAGTAATGAATATAGTAGTACCAAAGACAGGAAAAGGATAGGAAACTGAATCTGTTAAGAAAAGCTAATACTTTTTGATGTTTCAAACCACATTCAGTGGTTTAGCTTCTCAATACATGATCTGTCCCTTGTTTTCTCATATTGGCAGGTTTCTAATGTGTCCCTTATCATATTTTATGAGTACTAGAACAAAACTTCTAATGAGTGAGGAAGTGTAGTAGACAGCAAGTCTAATCTGAGGTATGATGATAATTCTCAGAGAAGTAGCAAAACAAATTCTAATACTAACTTCAGGAGCACCTTTGCTTTGTTTTGGTTCTAAACAGGAGATACCTGGAAATACGGTCAAGGTCAGATTTAAGATGACCAAGAAGACATTAGAAGGTGGTGTGTTCTCCATCTGTGCATCCAGGAAAGAATTTTAGGAAGTTAGTTTTTTTAGACGTGTTAATGACATGTATTATAGAATTTGTAAAACCATGAAATAGGCATCAAACTTGCATCCAAATTTGATGCTAACTGTTGCACAAAAAATATAACCTGTAGTATCTCCATCTCAAAAAATATCCAAAATGAACATGAAAGATCCTACATATATCCTGTCAGACAACTCACACAGTATATGTAATTCCATAATCACATTTTTTCATTTAATGAATGAATCAACTGGGTAAAGAGTTCCCATATTGGTTTCAGTACAAGAAATGGCTAAAAAATACTGCAGCGTGTGGCAGGAAGAAATATGACCTTTATGGGAGTAGTTTTTGGGCTCTTCCATAAGTGAAGGCTAGGTTAAGAGCAGAGGTTAGAATCATACTAACTGTGAGAAGTACCCTCAGGTTTAAGCAATGTATGAATGCAGTACATTTCTATGACCTACCTGTGTCGCAACTACCAGTTGATCTAAATTTGTAGAAACACTTCTATCTTAAAACCACAATGAATGTGTCCTGGAAAGGCATCTTTTCTCTTTTGGTACTTGGAAGGTACTTAACCATGATTAAGAGCAGTTTCTTAGGTAATGATCCAGACATTACAGAAACCACAGTGTAGTTTAAAGCATAGAACATCCTAGTCACTCCTTCCACGAGGGAGCAGACTGGTAAGAGAGAGCAGGACAGACATCTGTAGCAACATTGTTTGGTGTGACCTCCTCTTGGTTAAAGGACAGTCACATAGTCAGGCATGCTGCATAGTCAGCAGCGGGGAACACCACCACTTTCATTTCAAGTGCTCTCTTGTAAATAACAGGAGACTTGTAGGTGTCAAAAATCCATCATTCTCTTTTTCAACCACAGAAATCTTACACAAGATGAAATCAGGAAGTCTAGAGGCAATAAAGCTAAGTAGGGAAAATGTTGAGCAATACCTTTTGACATCACTGTCGCTAGACAGACTATGTGACTGCCTTCGTCTAAGTATGTAAACTTTACTAAGCTGTGGTGTGTTGCCAAGGTTAAGGTTAGTCATGCTGGAACCCCAGCAAAAGGGCTCTAGAAGGAGGTCCACCTCTGTGACGTTTGATATCCAAAAGAACTGAAAAGGCAGTTTCTCTAGACAGGGATGTCCATGTCAGCAGGCTTGTCATCAAGCTGAGTGGCTCTGGAAGCTGCCTTTCTCAGAAGAACCACAGCCTAGGTGGAGTAGGAGAACCCTGGTGAGCAGCACACACGCTGTAGCCTTAATTCCGTCAAGGGATGGCTGGCAGAAGAGGGCCTAAAAACTCTGCCAGGAGTAAGAGGATATGGGGAAAAAGCGGTTTAGGGTGGTAGTTGCCAAAGTTTCTGACTGATGGATGCTTGTTAGCCTCATTCTCTGTTACCACCACTGGGCTGTTTCGTCAAACCTTTAAAAGAGACACTGTTACAAACAGTGTTTTCATAGACTTTTGCAGGCCAGCCTTAGAGCATTTACCCTGGCCTGGTGCGCCATACGTTGGGAGTGCCTTCTTAAGGGGAATTCTAGTCTCCTTATTGTAATAAAGTTCTCAATTCATTTCAGAAGACTGAAACTCTTTTGGGGATTCTGCACTATTGTCATTTGACATGGTGGCTGTCGGGGATTGCGGATGGTTTAGAGGCTTATGGGGAGTATTGGCCTATCACAGATTCCCTGGAAGCTGCTGTGTGCCATGGGGGGCCTTGGAGTCTATTCTGTCTTGCAGAAGGAGCATGCTCTGCCACCCCCAAGGAACAATAACGTTCAGACAAAGAACATTTTTTCCAGATCTCTTTTGCAAACATGGAGCTGAGTGTAGAACCCTTTCTAAGCCGAGAGGTAGCTGAAGAATTTTGTGCATCTGCTTTACCGTGAAGCCAGGATGAATATTGGGCAGAAGCTTCTTTGGAGGGTGATGTTTTGTGACTAAGTGCAGGTGGTTCTTGTTACTCGAAAACCAGAAAAAGAGCTTCTGAAACCTAGACAGAAGGTTTTCCATCCTTGTTATTAAAAGCAGCCCCACTGAATTATAGGCTAAAAGCTGAAACACCTAGAAAAGCAGAATGGAGTGGTCTGAAGGCATAGGAGGATGCCTGATTCCTGAGTAAATAAGGTACTTTTGATGGAATTCCAGGATAGCTATTGCATTACTGTGATCAATTGTGGGTCTACACCAGGTGTGGAATGTGTAGGAAAAAGACACATTCTCTCAAGTGGTATCTTTTTATGGAACAGCCTCATGAGACAGAATGAGCAGACTCCTCTCTCCCTTTCTTTTCCCATCATATACTTAGTGTTTTCTCTGGCACTTATATTTCTCCAGAAACTGAATTAGTTCACTTAAATGGTAGACCTTTTGTACCATTTATGTTGTGAGTAGTTTTCTGAAATTTCAGCCGTAAAATGTGACAGTGGACTCTGGTGGCTTTGGGAAGGGGAGGAGGAAGATAGGAGCTGGTTCACAGAGAGAAGTAGAAGAAGAAAAGGGAGGACAGACTTCATATTTTCAGCTGCAGGGAATCAGTTATTGGGTTTATCTGCCCATCAAAATTATGCCATGTCTTTATACCATTTAAAATAATTTTTCCAATTAAAATTGAAGGTTTTCTTACTAATTTTTGTAAATGCCAATTTTTTTTGCTTGCATGAGGAGCTGATAGTTAAACTGCGTTATTAATTCTTCATATGCCTGATTTTTTCTGAACTTTGCTGAATTCCATGACCTAGGTGTTGATCTTCTCTTGTTTCATGAAGTGTGTTCCATGTCTTCTGTAATTTTTTTTGTTCACATGAATCATTTAATATATAATAAAATCTTCAGCTAAAGGAAAAATAGATAAATAAAGTCAAACAGCAACAAAATACTGAGTATCAGCCATATGAAACTCAGATTTAAAATGTGGAGTAAACTTCACTGCTTTTCTGCATGCTTTGTTCCTGTGGACATTCAGATTAAAGCAAGAAGAGATGGGCCATAAATACAATTTTCTTTAGAAGCAATGACTAATAGGGGAAGGCAGGTCAAATATCAGCCAACAATTTTAGCCTCAGACTCATGAGGACTATACACAAACAGCTAAATATAGGAGCTTCTCCTAAATTTAGACAAAATAATTAAGGACAGATAGGGGTTTATGTGGTTTACAGCCCACTATGAAAAGCAAAGTCAAAAATCATATTTTCTTGTCATTTCTTGTTTTCAGTGAACAAAATGACTTGAATGACTGAAAGCTTCAACACTCTGTTGACCAGAACAAAAACCTGTCCCTTTCGCTGGTGACTGTAGATGATTCTTCACCACTGAAGATCCTTCTCTCTATAATAGAAACTTGGGAAAACCTAGGTTTTGCATTTTGGGGTATTAGACTTCTAATCTTTTAAAAATTGTATTTGTCAAATTATAATAAAATAAAACAACTAGATCCCTTTTTAGCAGTACCCTTTTAAGTGGTATAAGCATTATTGATGCAGGGATCTTATATTTACACTTTAGAATATCTGTCAGGGTATCCCTTTACCATGGCACTAAGTAGAAAAGGAGAAATTGAAAAAAAAAATGTTCAGAATAACATATCTTTGCAGCCAGCTCAGACCTTTGGCTGTGTACCTTCACCAGTGGCCCTAGGTGTGTTTTTTTCATCCAACTTTGATGCATGTATTTCAGGGTTCCTTTTCCTCCTACATGCCAACTCAAAACCACGTTTGCTCTCTGGATGGGACTCTGGGGTTTTTATCTTTAAATTGTTGTTAGTTGTAGTTAGCAGTCTACATTGAAACAGCTGACAGCAAGAAGGGGCGAGGGGCAGACAGACCTACTGTCAGGGAAGGGGCTAGAACACTGTGACTTGGGGTCAGCGAAGGTGTGACTTGCAGAGTCAAAGACTCTCATATCAGGAGCAGGGGAACAAAGATGCAGTGATGCAGAACAATAACAGGAGAGGAAGGGGAAATGCAGGTGCAAGGTGCACATGGAAAATGAGGAGCATGAGAAAAAGGGGGGAATGGGAATGCAATGTGTTACAGCAGTTGTACTGCTTTAATCTGTCAGTGTGGTGTGACAGAAAGTGAATGGGATCCACATTTCTGCCGTTCCTTACACATTTTTGTCATATTGGCTGGTTTGCAAGCATATATTAGAGCATTCATTTAAATTTTTTATTTATATCTGAAATCTGCTCTAGAGGAATTTGTAGGTCCTTTAACATAGATGTTTTCATCCTTCGTCTTTGTAAAAGCAAAGATCAACCCACAACCTTTCATATATTTCTTAACTAATTTTGTATTGAGATGTTTATTACATCTTTCTTGCCTGGGGAAAATCCCATTTGTCTCGAGCACACAGTAGTTTCTTCTGTTTCCTGTGAAAAGCTGTTCTTCTCAGTAGGCTGTGCTTCAAAGATATTTGCTCTAAAATGCAGGCTCAACAAAAGCCATGCAGTTTGCACAATCCTATCTGCTTCAAGCAATCGCACAGCAAGAGCTTCTTCTAATACAAACAAACAGTGCATTCTAAAACCTGAGTATCTTTATAAAGGTGTTAATGAAGAAGTGTAAATGAAATCAAGTTGCTGATATTTTTTAACCTACTTTTAAAACTTCCTTTAAACTTATACTTCAAGTAAGTAGAAGGGTTGGAAAGGGAGGGTGAGGAAAAGGATCTCTTGCTCTTTCTTTCTTTCTCTCTTTCCAGCTTGTTTACTCTGTTCATGTGCCAGCACAGTGTGGGTATTCTGTTTCAGTCTTTTCGTAAGGGTTTTATACAGACATGCACTGATTTTTTTAATTTCTATGATTATTGCTTATGTTAGTGGGCGATGTGAAACCTGTTAAGAAAGCAGAGGATTCACACTGTAAAGCCACAGAAAATATCGCAAGGGATTTAAGGAAAGATGTGGGATTTACCCTATTCAAACCAACTTTGGTTAGATTTTGGTGTGATGTAGTCCATTTGAAGAGCTGGTTGCCACAGACTGTACATCTGTGAACTGTTTAAAGTGTGACTCCAGGCCATGATAAAGTACTTTTGGCTTCTACTAGGAGCAGGTTTACAACTTTTAATTCCAGCAGCACACCTCCCCTTCTCGTCATTTTTCTGGGTAACATACAACGGGGGAACAGAGAAAGATTCTCTGGGTATCTGATCAATCACAGGAAATAGCTGGCAACAGTCTTGCTAATCTTTCATCTAACATCAGCTTCACGCGAGAATTTTCTTGCTTCTTCTCTCCATGGTTATAATCTGGCCTTGATTTACTTTACCCTAGATAATATCTGATACAAGATTAAGGATGTGATAAGAAGCCATTCTATATAAAATTTAAGAGGCCATTAACATTCCACTGAATTGTAAAATTGTCAAGCTAAAAACAGCTCTCCTGGTGTTCTGCACAGATGCAATAGCAAATCACTGAGTCACAGGAAATGATTCAGTCTACATTTCTAAACTTTCAATGTGTGTTTTATGGAAGAAACTTGATGTAAATGTTTAGACAGTTATGGTTTTGGAGATAAATATTGCAGTTTTATGGAGTTTGGGGTTTGACGCACCCGGATTGTGGTGCATAGTTGTCAATTTACTGAACATCTAAAGCTGTTCGATTATTGTATTCGATTCCAGTGTGGGATGTATTTTCTTTGGCTAATGAAACATGGTGTCGTATTTGGGCATAACAGATTACACATCAGAATATCATGGAAAAATTATTTTTTAATGACCAAGCATTCACTCTGCACTGCTGGAAAAGAACTTGCATAGGCCTCCACACAGTTCTTGATTTCTTGTCTCCTCATCCTGTAAATACAGCACTTCAGTGATATGACCTCTTTTGGCAGGTTATCCTGTACCCTGAATGATCTCACTGGGTTAAACTGCTTTAGAAGGTTAAGTTAAAATATTTTTACAACAAAACAAAAAATTGTTTAAGATTCATTGATACATGCAATTAATTGAAACTTAAAGAAACTACTATTAATTAACTTGTCAAACTTTTCAACATATTTATTTCCAACTAGTATTCACTTTTCCTGCAGAATACCTATTGCTATTAATATAAAATTAGCTTAAAATAAATAATTTAAGGAGTATCATAGCTAAGGTTTAATATTGAAATTGTTGAAAATGTATACGCATAGAAAGTACTGTGACTCATGGTTTATCAGACTAACTCAAAAGACAAAAAGTTAGGGTTTTTTTGGTATAGAGCTTCTTTAATTCTTCTGAGTCTGTCAAAACCAAAGTAGTTACAGCAGCAAATGTAAAAATATGCATGTCAAGACGAAGACAGTGAAAAGAAATTCTGCATAAAAAGCAGGACAGACTTCTTTTTCTCTCTTTTTAATCTAATCAGATTTTAAATTTATTTTTAATTATTTAATCCTCCTCTTTAAACTAAATTGTAGTAAAATGAGTCTGCAATAGTGGAGTAAAACAGAAAGGAGGAAAATATTAAGCTCCTGTCTAAGAATCACTCATGGAATTATCCATCATAATGAATTTAATAGAAATTCATCAAGGGCAAATGCCAAACGCTGCACAGGGTAAGGAGGGACCCCAGGAGGGCCACAGGCTGGGGACAGAGTGAGCAGCTCTGTGGAAGGGACCTGGAGGGCTCATGGGCATCGGATTGAGCAGGATCCAGCAATCTGTCCTGGCAGCAAGGGAGGCCACCAGCATCCTGGACTGTAGTAACAGGAGTGCAGTGAGTAGTAGATGGAGGGAAGTGATCATTCCCATTTACTCAGCACCTGTTAGACCACATTTGGATATTGTGTTCGGTTTTGAGCCCTTGCAAACAAGAAAGACAGTGGTAAACTGGTAGGAGTTTGGCAGAGGACCACAATTCTCTGGAGCACTTGCCCAGGGGAGTCTGTGACAGTAGGGTTTGTTCAGCCCAAGAAGGACAACACTGTATTGGGGGACCTTAATAGCAGCATTCCCCTGCCCGGGACAGGTCATTAAGAAGATGGAGCCTGGCACTTCTCAGTGGCGCAATGTGGGAGGGCAGTAGTCAACAAGAAGAAGTTGAAACAAGAGAAGTTCACGATATTTGTGAGGAGAAACCTTTTCACCATAAAGAGACTCAAGATAGTGGAACGTTATCCAGAGGAGATTGTGTGCTCCCCATCCTGGGAGGATTTTGAGGCCAGATTGAATGGAGCCACAAGGCTCACCCAGCTTTAAACAGGACACTGGACTTGAGATCCCCTCTAACATGAATTATCCTGTGATTCTATGTGATGATTATTATTGTAACAGAGAGAGACCTCGACAAATTAGAGAGTTCGGCAACCACCAACTGTATGAAGCTCAACAAAGGCAAGTGTGGGATTCTGCACCTGCGACGAGACAACCCTGGATGTATGTACAGACTGGGGAATGAGATGCTGAAAAGCAGTGCCATGGAAAGGGACCTGGGGGTCCTGGTTGATAGCGAGTTGAATATAAATCAGCAAATCAGACATTAAGCTATTAGAGAACATCTAAAGGAGGGCAACAAAGATGGTTAAGGGCCTTGAGGGGAAGCCATATGAGAGGAGTGGTTGAGGTGACTTGGTCTGTTCAGCCTGGAGAAGAGGAGACTGAGGTGAGACCTCATCGCAGTCTACAATTTCCTTG